GCCAAAGAGCAGGAGACGCAGCTACTTTAAAGTTAAATTTAGGAGCAGCTCCTGTCAGATTTGACCTTGTTAGAGTCGCGTTAGTTCTCTCATATTCAACACAGATACCTCCAGCTCTGCAGATGCTAACCCTGCCTCTGGGATAGATTTTCCCTGCGTGAGTGTGAATGTTTCTGCATCACTTACACTTCAGGCAGCAGAGAGAAGCTGCTGCTGGAGCTGACGTCTTCTCGCTTCGCCTTCTGATACATAATGTTGACTTTAAGTGAGGTCTCGTTAGCTGCGTTTTCTGTAAACATTGTTTGGAGCCTGAAAACACGGAATGAAGAAGAGATTTAACCAAAAACAAAACAAACAAAAAAAAAACGCAGCAGCTCTGGAGCACACATTACAACGCTGCCTCATTATGTTCATTGAGAACAATCGGCGCTCTCACTCCTTCTTCTCGGCGTCTGTGGGAGAAACGGAGGAAATTAAACTTTCACRAGAGTGCACACAGCACTGTAATTTTATTCTGGAGCCTTGGCTTTAATAACAGAAATGTAAATTACTTATAAAAATGTTGACACATTCATCTTCTCCCTCTGGTCTCCTGATGTGGGCTGAACTACAGAGGAAATCTGTTACGTAAAGCTGCATATGCTTTCGCTTACTGGTTTTTTTCCTGAGCCTCCTGTGGATTTGAAGAGAGGAGCAGGTTTTTACCTCAGAAAACCTGTTCACACGCTGATGGYGGAGGCTCAGAGCCACGTTTCAAACGCTCAAGTGTTTGTTGCACTCGTTCCTCTAGAGGAGGTAACGGAACAGATTCTCTGTTTTGTTTTGCTTTTTATCGCTTCTGCATGAATATGATGCACAAGTTTTTCTCCTTCCTTGTTTTGCTTAAGTTGTGAAACAGTTAATCTGTGATTGTGTGAGAGGTGTGGTCCACCCTGGACAGGTTTTGAGTAAGGATGCACAATATATCTGCATTAATATCAGTACTGGCCGATATTGGTCACTTTTTTGAATATCGTATCAGTCCGATATGTAAAACTGGACAGATATTAACATCCAATATTGATTTCCCACTTTTTTAGTTTTGAGTTTGTGTTTTTGGAGGGGAGATGGTTGTGTTGAGCAGCATCTGTTTGATCATGATAGTGATATTGATGCTGCAGCCAGGAATAACWGAAGTAGAGCCATGTYAGAGGTCTGGTTGTTTATTTACAGTATCAAAAAAAGACCCAAGTGTGTTTGTGCATATATGTATAATATAATTTGTGTGTTTGTGTAATATGGGTAAATATTGGTTATCGGCCATAACAGCGATAATTATATCAGATATGATATCTGCTGAAATGTTCCTATCGGTGCATCCCTAGTTCTGAGTCCATCAGGACAAGAATGATTTTAAAAAAACGGACTTTTCCTCATAAAGTCCAGATGGTGACTCTTATTAGACTATTTGAGATGTGATAAAGAACAAACAGAATGGATCTTCCTTCACCAACGGGATGTTTTAGTAAAATCACCCTACTGCAACTTCAAAATAAAGTGTTGTTTTTGCATAAACTTACTGAGAGGACACCATCACGATGGAATGCTGTAATCAAAGCTGATGATAAAAGTTGGAGAGCTGAGAGTTGGATGGATTCCTGTAAATCCTCAGCATATCGTGGGTCAGTGACCCAGGAGACAAGGCGTGAGAACACCTGGCAGCCCTTCCAGCTCTGATGGAAGATGATGYCTTAGGACGAGGAGGCTGATTGAAGGCGTAATGAGCTGTAGGAGACAGCCGGCTCAGCGGGGACCTGAGGAGACACTCTGTTCCTCCCCCTCGTCCCACCCTGGGAGCAGTATCTCCTACCCTCAAAGTTTAATATGTACATGTTCAATTTCTCCCCTCTCCACTCAGCGCCCACACGTTTGCTCGGCCTCATTCAAGAGTTCAAATTAACTCTGGACACTTCTGCTCTCTGTTGGTAATAATCTCTCAAATTTCTCTTCACTCCTGCCCACCAGCCTCTCTGTGCTTCTCTCTGTTTTTGTTCTGTTCAGCCGTCTGCAGCCTCGTGGAGGAACTGCATGAAATAAGATCTTTACATTCATTTTATTTTATTTATTTTATTCAAAGCATTTTTTTATCTTCTGCACATTTTTGAAAACATTCTGCAGAAGATTAAACCTCAATTTAAACCGTATTAACAATATTTTAAAGAATATTTTTTTCATTTATTGCTCAGGTTTGTAGGATAAAGTAGTAACCCTCATGTAGTTTTAAAAAATAGTGATGGTGTGAACAACAAACTGATGCATGAGTTGTTTAAATAATTATTAACACAGATTAATGTTCCTATGTGAGTCCTTGTTCTTTTGTCTTTTTGTGWTTTCAGAACAAACATTTTCCTTGTGAACACAGCATCGTTTTGTTGAAACGTTCCTACGACGACGCAGGGCTGAAATAAAAAAATATATACAATTATGCACTTCTAGAACGTGGTTCACTTGAAAATGTACCTGAGATGTGATTACATAAATAATAAGGGTGCAACAGTACACACTATGTATGGATCAATACACACTATGTATGGATTAATACACACTATGTTTGGATCAATACACACTATGGATCAATACACACTGTATGGATCAATACAATCGACTACTCCACCTAGGCTGCACTGTATTAAAAAATTGGACTTTTGAGCTTAAACACATGTTCATAATTAATTTAAATAAATTACGAGTTAAAAAGGGCGTGGACATTTCTCTTTTTTGTATCTAAAAATATTGACCCATGAGACTAATGTATCGAACTAAACTGAACCATCAATTTTCTGTATTGTTGCAGCTCTAATAGATAACAAGAAAACATTTTTTCTCAAATAAAAACATTTCACTTAACCAATAATGTTACCCAAACATACAGATAATAAAACTGAGCATAATAAGTGTTATAATGAATTGATTGATGGTTTTTAGTAGCAGAGTGGAAATTTTGTAGAAATTGTTTCWTTTATTTGTTTAATTAGCAAGAAATGTTGTATTTATGGTACGAAGATGAATTATCCAAAAAGCAACAAAATACAGAACAGGTTCATTTTATTCAAAAATCTTCAGGGAGTTTATTTTAACTGGTTTCAGTATCTTAAACACAGCTTGTTTGTTACTTTAAATTATATTTCCTGGACTTCCTGCCTTTTTCACTCACTTTTTTGTGTTTTTTATTCCTCTCTTTAATCCCTGTGTCTCGTTACTGAACAGTAAAYGTGGCTCTGGAACAAACAGGCCACAGTTGGAGTTCATGAGATGATTTTTGAGGACTTGCAGAGTGACTTTCCTGTGATCACAGAGCGTGGACAGAATGTCAGAGTGGGTTTTAATCACTGACAGCTCAAATTGTGTTTTTTTTTTTTTTTTGTTAAGGCTGGAGTGGAGCTGGCATGTGGATCAGAAGTGTTTCAGATCAGATCCACAGATCGTTCCTGTTCACCTCTTTTGTTTCAGTTTCTACTCTGGAGGGATCTTGTTTATCTGCAGACAGAGGTTTGGGTTTAAACCAAGATTCCCAGATGAAACCTGCCTTCTGTTTACTTTGGTCTATTTTTTACTAGAATTTGATTTAATCATCTTTATGTCTGGAGACTCATTTATTCCCTTTTGCCCCAAAACATATAAATACATAAAGAAATGTTCAAACCCTGTTTGAGCTGAAAACAGAAACAGAAGAGTTTTGTCTTAAATCTGTCAGTTTGGATGTGGACCAGAACAGACCTCAGAACCTCTGTGTCAGACTCTCTGAAGAACTCCTGCTGCTCTGCATCCAAACATGAAGTCACACTGCTGTCATGTGGAGAGCACAGCCTCCATCAGAACCAGAGTCTCCATCAGAACCAGAGTCTCCATCAGAACCAGAGTCTCCATCAGAACCAG